TTTATTTAAATTATACCTTAATAAAAAGAACGTGAAAATATTTAAGAACATCTGTTCATCAAAAGATACCTTAAAGAAAATGAAAAATAAAGGTTGAAAACCAACATGAGATGTTGCAACATACAGGAGACACACAATTAATACTGAGACTGTGTACGGAGGCTTCCAGCCGCAAAAAACTAGCTGGCACAGGGTAGCACTCCACCACAATGACAAAATTAGATAAAATATATAAAATAATGTGATTATAATGATATGTAATGCTGTACCATAATTATATAAATACTACACTATAATTATAAAATGTAATACTATAAAAGGACTTTTAACGCCTGTTTTCGGATGTTTGACAAGAGGCAATGCAGGACTCTATCCTGGAGAGAAGGGAAATGGGCAGCATGAACTCCCGGCACACTGGCTGCAGTTCTGGGCCTCAGTGCAGGGTTTGGGAGCCAGGCGTGGAGTGTGGTCTCACCGAGGGAGGACACAGATCAGAGGTCAGGGATACCGAGGCCGCTGTAAGTACTGGAGACCACGGAACTTAGAGACGCCCACTTCTGGCCAGGATGGAATACAGGGGCTGGACTTATCCTCCCACCTGAAGGGAAACAGACGAAATATAAGAAAAAGTGGTTGTCCAGACACTGGACATGAGGCAATGAAGGTCAGTGACCCTGAGAGATGGACGTGAAGGAGAGAAGCCTACAACTGCCCCAGCTGATCGCCTTGGGAGAGTTCTTGAGCCGCAACACAGGGAGCGGACCAGGCAGAAGCAGCTGGAGCCCGTGAGAGTCCCGGAGACCATGGCAGCTCGAGTTTCAGGACAAAATACGGGGCTGGGCAGATCTGAACAGAGAGGGTCCCAGAGGTCGGCAGAGGCTGCCCTCAGAGTTGATCAGAGTATTGACCAGCCCACGCAGGTGAGAAAACTATCTGGGTTCTAGGAAAGAATCACCCAAAAGGACAAGAAAATACTGTGCCAGGGACTCACCAGTGCCAGGCAGCACCTGCTCCACCAGCCAGATGGGACGACCTCACGATGCAGGGAGCTGGCAGAGCAGAGAGAGGGCCTGTCTCGGCTGGGGTCACCCAGCCTGGATGAGCCCGGCTCCAGACGCCTCACAAGGAGGACCTGAGAGGACCAGCTGCCGCTACGTGACTTCCTGCCCCAGGACGGAGGTCGAGGACATTTACAGAAATACAAACATGTCCATCCACCGAAAAGTAAGATGCACCACGTCTGGCAACCAGGCACAGTCATCAGTCATGCAAAAAGCAGGAAAACACGACTCATCACAAGGAGAATAATCGATCCATCAAAACCAACTCAGAACTGACATGGACGTTAGAACTGGTAGACAGGGACTTTAAAATAGTTGTTACACTGTATTCCGCATATTCACACAGTGAAGTGGAGACGTGGAAGACATTTTAAAAGACTCAAATCAAACTTCTAAACACAGAAACTATGCTGTCTGAGACGGAAAATGCACTGGATGGGGTCGGCAGCAGATTAGAGATTGTAGAAAAGGCGAGAGAAATGCAAGACAGCAACAGAAACCATCAAAGCACAGAACAAAGAGAAGGGAGGGTAATTCTTGAGTTAACAGAGCTGTGGGAAAACAGGCAGATTTATGGCCCGGCTCCTTCCTGTGATTGCGCTTCGTGGATATTGTGATTTTCACTAATGGAACGTTTGCGGCAACTGTGTGTTGAGCAAGACTTTCGGTGCCATTTTTCCAACAGCATTTGCTCACTTGGTTTCTCTGTGTCACCTTTTTGGTCATTCTGACAATATTTCAAACCTTTTCATTATTATTACATTTGTTATGGGGATCTGTGATCAGTGATCTTTGAGGTTATCGTTGTAATTATTTCTCAAACCATGCCCAAAAGAGGGTGAACTTAATCGATGAATGTTGTGTGTCTTCTGACTGCTCCACTGACCGGCCATTCACCCACCTCTCTCCCTCTACCCAGGCCTCTCTATTCCCTGAGACAAAAAATATTGAAATTAGGCCAGTTAATAATCCTACAGTGGCCTCTAAGTGTTCAGGTGAAAAGAAAATTCACACATCTCTCGCTTTAAATCAAAAGCTGGAAATGATTGAGCTTAGTGAGGAAGGCATGTCGAAAGTAGAGCTGAGCCAAAAACTAGGCCTCTTGTGCCAGTTAGCCAAGTTGTGAATGCAAAGAAAAGTTCTTGAGGGAAATTAAAAGTGGTACTCCAGTGAACACACCAATGATAAGAAAGCGAAACAGCCTTATTGCTGATATGGAGCGAGTTTTAGTGATGTGGATAGAAGGTCAAACAGCCACAACATTCCCTTAAGCAAAAGCCTAATCCAGGGCAAGGCCCTAACTCTTCAGCTCTGTGAAGCCTGAGAGAGGTGAAGAGGCTGCAAAAGGAAAAGTTGAAGCTGGTAGAGGTTGGTTCATGAAGGTAAGGACAGACACCATTTCCATAATATGAAAGCACAGGGTGAGACAGCAAGTGCTGCCGGCGAAGCTGCGGTAAGTTATCCAGAAGATCAGCTGACAGAAGTAATTAAGGTGGCTGCACTAAACAACAGACTTTCAGTGTAGACGAAACAACCTTCTATTGGAAGAAGATGCCATCTAGGACTTTCAGAGCTGGAGAGGAGAAGTCAATGCCTGGCTTCAAAGCTTCAAAGGGCAGGCTGACTCTCTTGTTAGGGGCTCATGCAGCTGGTGACTTTCAGTTGAAGCCAGTGTTCATTTACCATTCTGAAAATCCCAGGGCCCTTAAGAATTATGCTAAATCTGCTCTGCCCGTGCTCTATAAATGGAACAACAACATCTGGATGACAGCACATCTGTTTACAACACGGTTTACTGAATCTTTTAAGCCCACTGTTGAGACCTACTTCCCAGAAAAAAGATTCCTTTCAAAATCTTACTGCTCATTGACAACACACCTGGTCCCCCAAGAGCTCTGATGGAGATGTACAACCAGATTAATGCTGTTTTCACGCCTGCTAACACAGCATCCATTCTGCAGTCCATGGATCAAGGAGCGACTTCCAACTTCAGGTTTTATTATGCAAGAAGTACATTTTGTGAGGCTGTAGCTGCCACAGACAGTGATTCCTCTGATGGATCTGGACAAAGTAAACTGAAAACCTTCTGGAAAGGATTCATCGTTTTAGGTGCCATTAGGAACAATCGTGATTCATGGGAAGAGGCCAAGATGTCAACATTAACAGGAGTTTGCCGGAAGTTGATTCCAACTCTCAGGGATGACTTTGAGGGGCTCAAGACTTCAGTGGAGGAAGTAACTGCAGATGTGGTGGAAAGAGCAAGAGAACTAGAATTAGAAGTGGAGCCTGAGGGTGTGACTGAATTGTTGTGATCTCATGATAAAACTTTAATGAATGAGGAGCTGCTTCTTACGGAGGAGGGCATAGAAAGCAGTTTCTTGAGATGGAATCTACTCCTCGTGAAGATGTTGTGAAGGCTGATGAAATGACAACAAGGGATTTAGAATATTGCATAAACTTAGTCCCTAAAGCAGTGGCAGGATTTGAGAGGATTGACTCCAATTTTGAAAGATGTTCTGCTGTGGGTAAAATGCTATCAAACAGCATCGCATGCTACAGAGAAATCGTTCAATGAAAGGAACAGTCAGTCGATGCGGCAATCTTTAAATTTCTACAGCCACCTGAATTTTCAGCAACCACCTTCATGATCAATCAACAGCCATCAACACTGAGGCAAGACCCTCCATCAGTGAAAAATTTATGACACGTTGAAGGCTTGGATGATGGTTAGCATTTTTTAGCAATAGAGTATTTTTAATTAAGGTACATGCATTGTCTTTTTAGACATAATGCTATCGTGCACTAAATAGACTACAGCATAGTGTGAACTTAGCTTTGATATGCATTGGGATACCAAAAAGTTGTGTGACTCACTTTATTGTGCTATTCACTTTAGTGATCTGGAATTGAACCCATAATATCTCCAAGGTGTGCCTGGACATGTAATTGAATCCCCAAGAAAGTGGAGACAGAAAAGATATTCAAAGGAACAATGGCCAAAATTTTTCCAACTTTGGTGAAAACTATAATCAATCACATAAGTCCAAGTTGCTCAATGAGCCCAACACGAGAAACACAGAGAGAGCCACACCAAGGCACATCGCAGTCAAACACCAGCATCCAGAACAGCACTACATAAAGAGGAATCAAGAGAAATATGACAGCAGGTATCTCACCAAAAACAGCACAAGTGAGAAGACACTGAAGCAACGTCTGTTAAGTACTGAAAAGAAAACCTGTAAACCTAGAATCCTATACAGAAGGAAAATATGTTTCAAAGACAAAAAGAAAATAAGGCTTTTTTATACAAACAAAAATTGAAAGACTATATTACCAGCAGATCAGCACTGCATGAAATATTAAAGGAAATCTTTCAAGGAGAAAGAAAATGATTGCAATGGAAATACAAATCTACACAAACGAATGAAGAGCACAGTGAATGGAAATTTCATACATAAACAGTATTTTTCTTATTTTTAAAATCTCTTTTAAAGATAATTGTACAAACAAAAATAACAATGTATTATGAGATTTATAACATGTGACAATAAAGTGCTTGACAACAATAGCGCGAAAGCTAGGAGGAGAGGGGTGGAGGCACGCTCTTGTACGGCTCTCACACACGAAGGAGCAAGTATCACCTGAAGGTGGACTGTGACAGGTTGAAGATGTATGCTAACCCTAAACAACCACTACAGTAACAAAACAAAGAGTCAAAGATAGCAAGTGAGCAAAGGCGATAAAAAGTAATCACAATGAGAGTAGAAAAAGATAACAAAAGAAACACAAACCAGACAGGTAAATAGCGAACCAAGAGCAATATAGTAGATTTAAACTTAACCACATCACTAATCACATTAAATGTAAATGGATGAATACCTCACACAAAAGGGAGAGGCTGTCAGGTTGGATGCAAAGGCAAGACCCAACTAAATGCTGCCTACAAGAAACAGAAGTTAAACAGAAAGATGCACATGGATTTAAAGTAAAAGAATGGTAAAAGATAAACAATGCTCACACTACCCAAAGAAAGCTAGAATTAAGTAATATCAGACGAAATAGATTTCAGAGCAACAAATATTAGGGACAAAGGAAATCATTTCAAAACAATAAAGAGATCAATTCTTTAGGAGGACAAAACAACCCTAAATATGTATGCACCTAATAACAGCCCGAAAATGCAGGAAACAAAAACCAACAGAACCTCAAATCCACAATCACAGCCATAGATTTCAGAACAAGGAGACAAAATCTGCAAAGATATAGGAGATTCAACACCACTGTCAACCAGCCTGACCTGATCGACACCCCACATCGACAGTGAATGCGCATTCTTTCTGGGTGAACACAGTCATTTACCAATGTAGACCCACATTGTAGGTCAAAATAAATCTCAAATTTTAAAAGATTCAAAGTTACACAAAGCATATTTTCTGATCACAATGAAGTTAAAACGGAAATCGATAACAGAGAAATATCTCTGGAAAATCTCCAAATATTTGGAAATTAAATAACACACGTCCAGATAACCCATGGTCTGTGGATATAATGGAGACGACCCCCTGGACCTGCCTCACAATCATGCTGAGCAGGAGCTGGAGACAAGAGGGGATGCCCTGTGGTCCCATTTACCTCACATTCAGAAAAACAAAACTGATGTACAAAGAAAAGAGGCCAAACAGTGGCTGCCTCGAAGTGGGGGACCAGGGGTCATCCGGGAAGAGGCGGCTGGGGGGTTCTGAAGTGAAAGGATTTTGTGTCTTGAGGAGGTGTCAGCTCCGTGCCATGTGCATTTGTCAAAACTCATCAGACCTAACAGCAAGGTCTGTGCACTTTACTGTGTAAATCACATCAATAAGGAAACTCAGGAAGAATGTGAAAGAAGTCCTGCAAATCCTAAGGAAAAGAGTGGGCCATGGGGGAAGACACACAGGCAGCCCAGAGAAGCAGAGACCACGTGGATTCCAACAGATTAGAGAAGAGGAAAAGCAAATGCACCGCAGGAGGCCTGCTTTTACCCGCTAGATGGGCAAAGACTGAGAATCCCCACAGCTCCCGCTGGGATGACGCGGCTGAACGGTGGGAGTGTAAACGGTGGAGCCGCTTTGGGGAAAGAACTGGGCATTTTCTTGTCGAGTTCAACCCGACATTCCTGAGCCTAGAGGTGGCTCCAAGAGGAACGCTGGCCAGCACCCAGAACGAACCAGGAAGTGTGAGGTGGTCGCTCCAGGGAACGTGACACAGGGTCAGAATAAACGCAGCCAGCTGCGGGGAGCAAGCGTCACAGTAACACAAAGGAGACCCAGAAGACGGCTCAGAGCAGACGCCTCTGCCGCAAGGTCTGAAACAGCCGCGCTGAGCAGCCCTTGTCTACGCTTAAAACGCTGTGAGCAGCAGGGAGCCCGCGGGCGGTCCTCTGAGCGGCGGGCCGGAGAGGGAAGGAGCTGAGGGCATTCGTCAGCGATCCTCTTGGGCTGAGGGGAGGTTTACAAGTGTTCAGCACGTCATTTTATAACTGAATGGATAATAAACGCCGTCCATGGAAAGACACAGAATGAAGCGGGAGGGCCACGAAGCTACCGAGCAGCATTCACCCCCCCGCCCCACCCCGCCCCTGGACCCCAGAGGAGGGGCTTTGAGGCCCGGAGGGGCCAGCGCTCCCGGAGGGCCGGTGACAGGCAGCGCGCTGTTTGTGGCTGAGGAGACAGTGGGGAGCCCCAGAGCGGGGCGCCGGCGACACCTTCCCTCCACGGACCCTGCAGTGCGCCTCCACCAAGTGCTCTGAGCCCCGCGGGGGTGACAGTTTGCGATTAGAGCCCTCCAGACTCGGAGCAGAAGACGGGGGTGGGGACAAGGCCACTAACGAGCCCGATAAAAGCCACCTGGGTCCAGAGGCAGCGGGACCCTGCGAGACGCGCCGTGCTCCCCACAGACCCCGGCTCAGAGAGATGCAGAGACCGGCCGAGGCCTCACACCTTCTGCGAGGGGAGGTTCGGCTCCCCGGACCTGAGTCTTGAGGCAAAGGACCTGGGGAGGCCACGAGGACCGCACTTTCGGGGGGCTGCCAAAACCCGTCGCCAGGCTGGGCGGCACAGACGCCGGGTACGGGCTCCCGAGCCCTCAGCCCGCGCCCTCAGCTGGGGATCCAAGCTGGCCACCGACCGAGGCTCTGCACACCCTTCGCAGGCCCAGCCTCCTCCTCTGCGTTGCTGACAGGTCTCGCTTCACCAGGGACTTGGGGGACGGGCCTCAGTGCCCTGCGCACCCCGGCCTGTGCCCCACCAGCTCTGAGCATCCCCGCAGCCCCCTCCCCGCAGGGCTGAGCGCGTCTCAGGCCGCGGGGTCTCCGGAGCCCCGGCTCACCCAGCGAGTTCCCCTCCCGGGTGAGCCCGGAGCAGCCGTCAGCTCAGCCCGGCGCCGCCAGAGGAGGGGCCAAATCCCAGTCGACCGGACGAACCACTCCGTCCACGGGGATCTCCCTCCGCCTGCAGCGCGACCCCTGCCGCGCTCCGCAGACCCGACGGCGGCGTGAGGGGAGGCCCTGAGGCTCCACCGCCTCTAGGAGGGGCGGGAGAGCCCGAGGAGCCCCGGATCCGTCTGCGCGGAGCCCTGGCCCAGCCCACCCCCTCCTGAGACCCGCCACCCCTCAGACACCCAACTCCAGGGATGTCCTGGCATGAGAGTCCAAACAGCGCGGCCCCTCAGAGGCTCTGCGTAGACCGCTGCCGCCCATCCGCCAAAGGCCACTTTGCTGCTCAGAAAACACAGGCAAAGACCAAGGCTGGATCTCGGCCAGGTCCACGTGGGGACATAAAAAGGCGGGGATGAGCTTCCGCCCCCTCTGCAGACCCCTGGCCCACGCTTTGCTCACCCCTGGACAGCTGACAGAAGTGGTGTCCTTCCCGAGGGGTGAGAGGCCCTGGCCAGAGAGCAGCTGGAGGAGCAGAACCCTGGGGGCCCACAGGGGTGAGGCCAGGAAAGTGCCAGGACACAGCAGGGGAAGGGGCACCGGGCAGAGTGGGTTTTCTCTCATGCTGTGTGCCTGCACCTGGGTGTGCGCGCATGCACCTGTGTGTATGCATGTGTGCACCTGTGTGTGTGCATGGACTTCTGTGTGTGCATGCCTGGGTGTGTGTGCATGCACCTGTGTGTATGTGTGCACGCCTGGGTGTGTGTGCATGCACCTGTGTGTATGTATGTGTGCACCTGTGTGTGTGTACGCGTGTACCTGTGTGTGCATGTGCACCTCGGTGGATGAGGGGGTGTGCTAAGCACACGCCTGGCCATGCACCTGTGTGCTGGGCACAGAAGAGTGTGCACCTGAATGTCTATGAGTGTGCAGGTGAGACGAGTATCTGCACAGACTGGTGGGTGTGAGCCCACAGCCCCCTTGCTGTCGTCAGCTCTGAGGAACCATGTGTTGGACTGAGGGGGGGACCACAAGGAAGCCCTGCGGCACCTCTGAGACCCCTTTGAGGAGGGCACAGTCCACCCACCCAGCTCTCACGACCCGGCCCTGCTGCCCAGTGAGGCAGCGGGCCTGGACCATCACACATCACACTCATGTCTCTCTGCCTTTCAGGGTGCCCACAAGTGACCTCTCTGCCAGGGAGGGCCATGAGCAACTCCACTGAGACCTTGGTGACGGAGTTCATTCTGCTGGGCTTCCTGGAGCTGTGCCACCTGCGAGGGCTGCTGTTCGGGTCATTCCTCATCGTCTACGTGGTGACCGTCCTGGAGAACCTGGTCATCGTGGTGACAGTCCGAGCCAGCCGCCAACTGCACACGCCCATGTACTTCTTCCTGGCCAACCTGTCAGTGCTGGAGACCGTCTACACCTCAGTCACCGTCCCCAAGTTGCTGGCTGGCCTCCTGGCATGGGCAAGGACCATCTCCTTCTCAGGATGCCTGACCCAGCTGTTCCTCTTCCTCTCACTCGGCTCCTCTGAGTGCTTCCTCCTGGCCACTATGGCCTGTGACCGGTACCTGGCCATCTGTCGCCCGCTGCACTACCCAGCCATCATGGACTCAAGGCTGTGCCTGCACCTGGCCCTCACTGCCTGGCTGGGCGGCTTCCTGGCCTCCTTTGTGTCCACGGCTCTCATCTCCCGCCTCAGGTTCTGTGGCCCCAACGTCCTCAACCACTTCTTCTGTGACATCTCGCCCCTGCTGCAGCTCTCCTGCTCCGACACCACCGCCATCGAAGTCGTGGACTTCGCAGCAGCCCTGGCTGTGCTCTCAACCTCCCTGCTGGTGACCATGGTGTCCTATGGCTACATCCTGGCCACAGTGCTGAGGATCCCCGGGGCGGCCGGCCGCAGGAAGGCCTTCTCCACCTGTGCCTCCCACCTGGTGGTGGTGGCCATCTTCTACACCACCACCATCTTCATGTACGCCCGCCCTCACGCCATCAGCTCCTTCGACCTCAACAAGCTGGTGTCCGTGATCTACTCGGTTGTGACCCCCCTGCTCAACCCCATCATCTACTGCCTGCGGAACCGTGACATCAGGGAGGCTCTGGCCAGACTCCTCCAGGCCCCTGGCCCCTCCTGAGCACCAGCTGCAGGAGGAAGAACTTCTGGATCCCTCCCCTCTCATCTGCTCAGTCACTGGCCCACCACCAGGCAGGCCATGGCTCCCTCCCGCCAGCGCAGGGGCAACCTCCTCTCTTCCCCACCTCACCTCACCTGGGAAGGAGCTGCCAAGAGCACAGAGTGGCCCTGAGAGCATCTGGGCGAGCAGTGGAAATGCCAAAGGCTCCAGCCTCTCCCAGGCAGCATCAGCACCAGACCCGGGGACAGCTCCTCAGCTCCCAGCAGCGCCCTCAGCCCAGGAAGAACTTGGTCTCAAGCTCATAGGAGGGTCCCTCTGCACTGTCCCTTCCCGACCACCTGGGGTCTGCTCAGGTTCTGCGGTGGCCAGACCCTCTGCCTGGCCCTCCTGGGCCCTGCGTACCTTGTCCCAGAGCCCACTGGGATGGCCTCCTTTGCCTGAGGTCCCAGCTTGTCAGAGCAGACCCTGCGACCAACCCCAGCCAGCTGGACAGTGGACTAAGGGCTCCAGGCGAGTCCAGGCAGCGCCATTGGCCACACATTTGCCACCTTTCCTCAGAAACAAGAATTTTGCTTTATCTAAAACCTGATGGGTCTAACGAATAGATGGCAAACCATTCCTGGCTTTTCTGCCTTTTCTCTCTTCTCTGGTGCTTGGGGACAGAAATTAGGCTAATGCAGCACTTCCCTTCTTATTGGCCATTGCCATTGGTCAGGGCGAGCACTTCTCTCACTTGATTTCATCTTTTTTGCCCACATTCCCATCCCATTCCCTTCATCACAGCCATCCAAGTAATAGGTTTAGTATATGTCCCTGGAGACATGCATGCGTTATCAATAGATGTGTCCTGTGCTTTGTGTGTGAGAGGTTTAAATTCGTGTAAATGATTTTGCCCTGCAAATCTTCTCTTTCTTACTATTTTACTTTATATATTTTGAGGTTATGTCATTAGGTACATGAAATTTAGAATTATCATCTTGGTCAATTTAACCTTTTATCATTATGAAGTGTTGCTCTTTGTGTCCAGTAATGCTTTTTGCCATAATCTGTAAGGCTTAAAGTCTACTTTCTCTGACAATACAGCTACATCAGCTTCCCTTTTGTTAGTATTTATTTGCATAATATATATTTCTATCTGCGCTGGTTATTCATCTGTTGTCTCTTACCTTCTAACCACCCTTCTATTGTCAGTTCTGTGATGCTGGAGCTGGAACTCTGCAAACCACATTTCTGCTTTGCCAGCTGCTCCCTGTTTCTGTTGAGAAGTCAGCTGTTTGTTTTATTTTTACTCTTTTTAGATAATTGCATTTCCCACACTTCTGGAAGCTTTTAACATTTTCTTCTTGTGTTTGGTTTCCAGGGTATGTTTCTCTTTGGGTTTGTCATACTTGGAGTCTGTAATGCTTCTAGAATTCATGACTCGCTCCCTCTCATCAGTTTTTGAAAATTACCACCATTGTTTCCGTAAAGACTGCATCTGCCTCATTCTTTCTCTCCTCTCCTTTTGGTTCCAATAGTACGTGGATGTCAAGATCTTTTTGTAGTGTCCCCTCTGCCTTCTATTAGCCTGTTCTGTGTGCTGTATGATTTTTTTCCTCTCTGTGCTTTCTTCTGGATATTTTCTTCTGATCTTCCAGGTTACGAATTCTCTCTAGTCATATCTAATCCGCTGTGTTCTTAAACGTATTTTTTTTTTAGTTCTACATTTCCTTTTGGTTCTTCTTACAGTTTCCCATTCTCCATCAAAATTCTCAACTTGTTTTCTTCCTGTAGACATGAACAAGCTCCCACAGTCTGTTGGCGATGCACTTCTTCTCTTGTACTGGTGTCTCTGTTCCTCGCCAAGACTGGGTAGTTCACTGTGGCTTTTCCACACCATCTTCATATCTGACAGGGTGAGTCCCATGTCTTTGATCTTCTTTTTCAAAATTAGTTATGCTAGACCTTTATTTTTCCATATGGCTTCAGATCCCTCGGGTTCTGTATTAGTCCACTAGGGCTGCCATGACTAAGTCCCCAGCCCAGGAGCTTAAACAACAGGCATTCATCCTCTCATAGTCCTGGAGGCTGGAAGTCTGAGACTAGGCGTCGCAGGCTTGGTTCCTCCTGAGGCCTCTCTCCTTGGCGTGTAAATGCCGTCTTCTCCCTGCGTCTTCACACGTTTGTCCCCGTGTGTGTCCCTGGCTCTTATAAAGACACCAGTCAGACTGGATTAGGGCGCACCCCAATGACTTCATTTTACCCTAATTTCCTTGGTAAAGACCCCATCTCCAAATACAGCCACATCCTGAGGTCCTGGGGGTCAGGACTTCAACATATCAATGAGGAGGAGGGAAATACAATTCACAATTCAGCCTAGAGCAGGTTCCTTTAAAACTTCCGCAGACATTTTTATTGGAATTTTTTTGAATTTATGGGATAATTTGTGGAGAATTTTCACACAAAATTGTCACCTTCACAATATTAAGTTCCCAATACAAGTACTACCCTTGTTTACTCCTCCGTTTATGCAGCTTCATGTTCTTTAATAATTTTTTTGCCATAGAGATCTTTTGCATTGTGGAAGGTTACTTATAGTGTTGGTTGCTACTGTGAATGGCATTTTAGTATATGTTTTCTAGCTATTTCTTGTTCGGGTACAGAAATTTTATTTTATCAAGTCTAAGATACACATGTGGCTGCAAGTCAGAGCCTCCAGGTAGCAGTCGCTACACAAACAGGGGAAGAGTCAGGCAGTGGCGGTGCAGGGGCCGTGGAGCAGCCTAGTGGTGAGTCTGGCCTGGATCTTCCCTTCTTCCACCCACTCAGCCTGCATATTCAGCACCCTGCAGTCTTCACAGGGCAGCGGCAACTCCTGGCACTGAGTCCACAGCCTAGGAGAAGATCACGCACGTTCTGCGTAGCCCTCTTTTTCAGGAGCTAAACCTCTCCCAAGCACCCTCTCTGTATCCCCCCGCTTTGGGTGGCAGGTGAGAAGTCAGTGTCAAGTGCTGAGCGTCTGTGGGCAGGCATGACTGTCAGGGCCGCCAGTCTGCAGAGTCTGCCACTCTTCGATGCAGCATTTTCTTCCTCTTAGCCGTTCTGCCAATATCTTGTTAACAGAAGCAGTGAGAGCAGGCCATCCTTTCTTGTTCATATTTTTGAAGGGAGTACATCTAAAGGCTTTCCATTAAGTATAACATTGTCTGAGGCTTTTTAAAATATGGCCTTTATCAAGTTAAAAATTCACTTCTGGGGCTTGCCCTGTGGCCAAGTGGTTAAAGTTTGCATGCTCCACTTCGGCGGCCCGGGGTTTCAACAGTTCAGATCCCAGGCAGGGACACGGCACCGCTCATCAGGCCACATTGAGGCGGCGTCCCCACATAGCACAACCAGAGGCACTCACAACTATAATATACAACTATGTACTGGGGGCCTTTGGGGAAAAGGAAAAAAAAGAAGATTGGCAACAGTTGGTAGCTCAGGTGCCAATCTTTAAAAAAAAAAATTCACTTCTATGACTACTTTTCTTGGCGTTTCTCCCCCACAAAAGAGCTTGGCTCTTTTCATATACTTATTGGCTGCTTATGTATCTTCTTTGGAGAAATTTCTATTCAGATCCTTCACCTTGTTTTATAATCGAGTTGTTCATGTTTATATTATTCAATCGTAATAGCTTTTTTAAAATTCTAGATATAAGTCTCTTATCAGATGTATGATTTGCAAATATTTTCTCCTATTTGGTTGCCTGTCTTTTCAATTTTTTGTAGTGTCCTTTAACACTGAAGGTTTTAAATTTTGAAGTCCAATTAATCTATTTTTCTTTTATTTGCCAGTCCTTTTCTTGTTACATCAAAGAAACCATTGCCAACTCTGAAGTCATGATGATATACCCCTACATTTTCTTCTAAGGGTTTTATGGTTTTAGTTCTTTGGTTTTTGACCCTTTTTAGTTAATTCGTGTACATGGTGTGAGGTGTGGATCTGACTTCATTCTTTTCCATGTGGATGTCCAGTTGTCCCAACACCACTTGTTGAAAAGATTATTCCTTCCTCAATGAATCGTCTTGGTAGCTTTGTCAAAGTCAGTTGGCCATAGTTATGTGGATTTATTTCTGGACTCTCGGTTATGTTCCATTGATCCATATGTCTGTCCTTTTGCCAGTGCCGCACTGTCTTGATTACTGTAGCTCTGCAGGAAGTTTGAAGTCAGGAAGTGTGTCATTGGGTCCGTCAGCATCCTGCTGAGCCTCGCTGGTGGGCCGCCTGCTGCCCTGTGGATCTGGAAACCCCCAGAGGAGAGAGACTCCTGCACTGTTGTGAGCATCCTCACAGCCCTGAGGCCAGTCTACTCATGTGGCAGGTGCTCGCTGGTTGTTATTAACCAATGATTTGCACAGATATTGAGGCTTCTGCGCTACAAATATGGCTACGTGTCACGGGCCTTGAGATAAACTAGGGTTGCAGGGCCCCTTGACCACTTGTTATTTATATGAATCAACATCATCCCTTTCAGAAAACTGTGTGTCAATCAGGAAAATCAGACACAGCTGAAGTTACGTCGCGTCTGAATAAATCAGAAGAATTGTTCCAGTCTTGAGCTGCTGACACTCTACTGCGTTGACTGTCCCATGAGACAGATGATTATTGGTCAGAAGTTGAAAATACGTGCTGACTGATTGAGTTGGAGGCTTGGGACCAGTGGCTGTTTCTTCTGTGAAGTTAAGGACCACTGTAAATTAACCACGGCCCCTCTGTTGGTTCCCTTGCAATTTCTAAGACTAATTTCTATGTGTCACATTCTGAACTTGGTCACTAAGATAAATAGTGAGACTCTCCTTGTGCGTGATGTTTTCTCAGCTCTACATGCTGGGCACGTTGGAAACAGAGCCCCAGCAGGTGCCCTGTCCATCCGTTGTGGGCCTTTGACCCCGCAGGGGAAGGTGTCAGCTAAAGTGAGCTCTCCGCGCCTCGTCACCCACTGCCAGGGGCCCCGCTGAGGCTCGGGTTGGGGTGGGGACTGCCAGCGCTGACTCTCTCAGACTCTCTGTCCTCAAGGGCGGGACGGTGTGTCCCTTGACCCTGGGCGCCCAGCAGCAGGCTCAGCACTTGAAACCGGTGGTGGAAAAACCCACCTCATCAGGCCAACATCAGCGGCGAAAGTCAGGGGGACCATGTGTCTCCTGATAGGACGAGATGAGGACGGCAGCGCACCTCTGTAGTGTGTCTCCCAAAACCCACCCCCTGGTGTGATCGTGAGAAAAACAGCGGACAAATCCCCATGAGGGCCACTCTGCAGAACACCTGACCAGCTCTCCACAAAGCTGGCAGGGTCGACACAACCACGGGAAGTCTGAGAAACCGCCAGCTAGAGGACCCTGACTGTCCCGTGGAGTCCAGATGGCAGCCCGGACAGAGAAGGGACACTGGGTGAAAACTAAGGCAATCTGCACAAACCATGGACTTTAGCCAACAAACATATCAATATTGGTTCATTAATGACAACCAACACATCACACTCTGTCCCATGTCGAAAGTCGGGAAACTGGGTGTGGGGCCTCAGGGACTCTCCATGCCGTCTTCTCCAAATTTACGGAAATCTAACAGCTGTTCTAAAAACTGAAGTCTGTTTCAAACGAATCGCGTCCTTCCTGCAGGGATTGGTGCACTCAGCTCTCCTCTGAGATCCGCCGGGGGAGAGACCCTTGGCAGAGGAGCTGTCAGCTCACGCGTTCACATGGAGGCGGCCACCTGGGATCCTGACCCCTGGGGCCACAGGCGCCCTGGCCCTTCTGTGCCCACAAGGCCCCTGTTTACCTCCAGGTGGGGGTAATTAATCCCCTAGAGCTGGGCCTGGGGGGGCTCCGAGCTCCCCAGCACCTCAGGTCCACCCAAGGGGACGGACTCCACTTAAAGGTCCGCAGCACACAAAGGAGACACTGACCTGGGAGAGACGGCTGCAGCCTCACACTGCGTCTCGTTTCCACCAGAGTAAGAACATCCCGTCTTTTCGTGAAGATGTGGGCATCTCACGTGTAGCCGGGAGCCGAGCGGGCAGCCCCTTCATTCCCAGTGAGCAGCTGTCCATCACGGCCTCGCCCCTGCCCTTTGGACTGCCTGCCCTAATTTTCCCTTTGCTGGTTCTGAACGGACATTTGCTTGTGCCCTGAGCTGTTTTATGGTGGGAAAATGACATTCAACTCGCTTTGCTGGTGGCCTTTGCGGCTTCAGTTTGAGGTGGCAGAGCCCCCAGGGAGCTCCGCGCGTCTGCTGGGCTGCCGCCTGTCTGCGCAGATCAGAGCAAAGGAGACCCCAGCAGCGTGGCCTGGTCTCTAAGTAAGTCGGAGGCTTTCAGGGACGCCACAGCCTGATGCCGCTCCCCAGCGGGGAGCCCACAGCCCGGGTTCCAGTGAATCTGCTGCAAGACTCGCTGGGCAGCAGACACAGGCACCTGGGGTGTGTGAGGGGGGCCCAGTGGCTCAGATGCTGCAGTCGAGGGTCTGTGGGATTCACGCTTGCACAGGGCAGGCCTGGCCAACTGTTGAGAAGGGGTGCATGTGGCACTGGGCGGTGCCAGCAGTGACCAGCGCTCGGGAACCCCTGTCCTGGGGGCTGATGGGTATGTCAGCAGAGGCCACAGGGCTGCACTGAGCTGGGACTCTGCCTTTCCTCCCTGAACACTGGCCCCTGGCCCCTGGCCCAGCTGACCCCGTTGAGGAGACAAGCTTGCCGCCCAGCCCGGGCATGGGATGGGTTAGAACCAGGAGGTCGGCTGATCCGCACCCCTGCCCCTCTCTTGGGGTCTGCCCTCTCTGCAGGGGAGTGGGGGGAAGGGGAAGGCAGCTGTGGCTTCCACTAAAGGACTGTGGCCGGGTCGATCCACAGCCGACTCTGGCAGCCGAGGGCGACCTTCCCAGGAGCACCCGAGCCCTCTGGTGCCCAGGCCCCCCTCCCTCCAACACCCTGTGCCCCCTGAGTGCCCACCTCGCAGCCCCCACAGTGAAAACGCCCTCCTGTCCCTGATGTCCAGCCCCCTGATGACTGGGTTTCCTTTGGGAACCTGGGTCCTTCCGGCTTGCCGACGGGGCCCTCCGCACTCTGAGGCAAGACCGAGCACAGCAAGCAGCTCCTCCCCGCTGGGTGCCACAGGAAACATTCACAGTCAGTGAGGACAGGTCACGCTGACCCTTCTGTGTGATTTACGGGGTGGTGCTGACCCGGCAACAACCAGGTTGTCTCAGGGGGGAGGTACCTGCATGCCTGGGAGGGCCCAGGGCTCTGGGGTGGATGCTGTTCTCTGACTGTCTCCCTGGGAGCAGGACCCTTGCAGACCCCTGATTTTGTGCTCCTGCAGCAAGGTGCGGAGAGCCAGCACCCCCGCAGAGGCCGTCCGCCGCCCCATGCCTCCCTCTGCCGGGCGGCTGTGTCCAGACACCCAGCCTCACGATGGCCACAGACAACCGCACGGCCGTGGAGGAGTTTGTCCTGCAGAGCTTCTCACAGGCCCCTGGGCTGCAGGGTCTCTTCTTGGCCTTGTTCCTCCCCCTGTACCTAGGGGCTCTCGCAGGAAACACGCTCATTGTCGTGGCCATCAGCCTGCACCCGGGCCTCCACACCCCGATGTACTTCTTCCTCACCAACCTGGCCGTCCTGGACATTGTCTGCACGTCGACTGTTCTCCCCAGATTGCTGGAGAACCTGGTGGAGAAGGGAGGCACCATCTCCTATGGGGGCTGCATGACCCAGCTCTTCTTCCTGACGTGGTTTCTGGGGGCCGAGCTCCTGCTGCTCATGCTCATGGCCTATGACTGCTACGTGGCCATCTGCCGCCCGCTGCACTACCGCAGGCTGATGAGCTGGCCCGTCTGCGCCCTGCTGGTGGGCGGTGTGTGGACGGTCAGTGCATTCAGCACCTCTTGCACACTGGCCTGATGACAAGGCTGAGTTTCTGTGGCCCTAATCAGATCTGTCACTTTCTGTGTGAAGTCCCCACGCTGCTGCTGCTCTCCTGCAGCCCAACGACCCTGAATGACATCACGATCGTCATCGCAGACGTCTACTTTGGCGTGGTCAACTTCCTGCTCACCCTGGCGTCCTACGGCTGCATCATCGCCAGCATCCTGCGCGTCCGCTCAGCCGCGGGCCGGCGGCGGGCCTTCTCCACCTGCTCCTCGCACCTCCTGGTGGTCACCTTGTGCTACTCCACCGTCGTCTACACCTCCATCCTCCCGGGCTCTGGCTCCTCCATGGAAAACGGCAAAGTGGTTGCCTTGCTGTACACAGCAGTCAGCCCCACCCTGAACCCCCTCATCTACTCTCTGCAGAACAAGGACATCAAAGTGGCCCTCAGGAGGGTGCTTCCTGCGTCCGGCAAAGGAAGGGAAAGGCCCAGGTGGAATTTGCAGGTGTCAACCAGCTAACTTCAAGATAGGACTTGGAGAGTGTGCTGCAATAGCCCAGAGCAGGAAGGTGCTAATGGGATGGGTGTATGCAGGATGTGCCTCCCCAGGGAGCTGCCTGCGTTCCACGTGGCCCTTTAACCAAGTGCCTGAGGCCCGAAGGGTGGATGCTGTCAGGACTGCAGGGGGGCCGGGTGGCCGGGTAGAGCCAGGGGCAAGGGGAAGAGCAGGAGATCCAGTGGGGCCCACTCAACTCCCTCCCCTCCAGCGTCCTGCTGACGAGTTTTCCCCAGCACCTGGCACCTGGAGCAACGCTGGACCCTGCAGCCGCAGGGCGCTGCTGGCCACCTCCCCTCTCAGAGTCGGGGGTCCACGTTCAGGGGAGATCTGAGAGTCAGACTTGCCCGGTGTGCACATGGCCTGGTTCGTTCTGACTGGGGTCTCCTGATACCCCGCTGTGGACACCTCTCCCACATCCGGATCCTCCAACCCAACTCGTCCTGGTGTGAGGTCTGGGAAAACACAAGGTGGCTGCTTCCCTGTGTCTGTGAGGTTTCGTGGTTCTGGCACCACAGGGAGGGTGGGAGAGGATGTGGCCCAGCCTTCCATTCACTGACCTGCAGAAAGGAGGTGTGGCTTTCTTTCTTTCTTCCCCAAAAAGGGCAGCTTCATCCTTACCCAAGAAACTTTGCCATGGCAGGAAAGAGTTCTCCTTGGTTCTTCAATTTACACGAAGCCCCGAGAGCATTGCTTAGGGTGCATTTCTTCTCAGTCTGGTTATTGTCGTCCTTTGTTTGCCCTCTGCACTGGCCTCTGACTGCTGGTGTTCCTCACGGCTTCACCCGAGGCTCTCTTGTCTTCCTCCCTGGTAATTTCACCTGTGCCGACGATAAACTCTGCTTGTACCATTAACATTTGCAAGGACATCCAAATGTGCAGCGACAGCTGGTGCCTCCCCTGGAGCACAGACGCGTTGCTGGAGCTGCCGAGCTCACGCTGAGCTGACGTGGGAAGCTGCCCGGGGGTCCTCCTCAAACCTTGCTCAACAGTCAAAGCCACCTGCCTCAGCCCTTCCGCCCCATCCAGTTGTGAGAGCCACAATTATGGAAAACTGCTTCTTTTATATTTAAGAGTATGTTTATGTATTCTTCCTTCCAGCTTTATTGAGATGTAATTGACATAAGCAATATCTCAGTGTAAGGTGTGCAGCGTAATGACTTGACTTACATACCTTGTGAAAGGATTACCACAATAAGTTTATCTCATTGTATCAATATCTCTTAGAGATACAAGAAAAAAAGAAAAGAAAATATTGTCTTTCCTTGTGATGACAACACAGGATCTACTCTCTTAGCAACTTTCCTCTATACCATACTCCAGTGGCGGCTATAGTCACCATGTTGTACGTCACATCCCCAGTACTTTTTATCGTACAACTGGAAGTTCGTACCTTTTGATCACCTTCACACAATTCTCCACCTCTTACCCCATGACTCTGGGAACCTCTAATCTGATCTCTTTTTCTATGAGCATGAGGTGTTTTTTAGATTCCACATATAACTGAGGTTTTACAGTAAATGTCTTTCTCTTTCTGACTTATTTCTCTTAGCATAATGCCCTCAGGCCCATCTATTTTGTTGCAATGGCAAGATTTCCATCTTTTTATGGCTGAATGGTATTGCCGTGTGTACGTGTGTTCTCTGCATTCATTCATCTCTTGGTGAACACTAAGGTCATTTCCATGCCTTGGCTGTTGTGAATAATGCTACGCTGATCACAGGGTGCAGGTGTCTCTTTGACATAGTGATTTCGTTTCTGCTGGAAGTGGAATTGCTGGATCAGAGGGTAGGTCTACTTTTAACTTTCTGAGGAAACTCCATCCTGTTTTCCATAGTGGCTGCGCCAATTTACATTCCTACTAACAGCGCACAAGCGTTCCCTTTCTCCGCAGCCTCACTAACACTTCTTCTCTTTCCGACACGAGTCACTCTAACAGGTGTGAGGTGATAACTTGCTGTGGTTTTGATGTGCATTTCCCTAGTGACTAGTGATGTTGAGCACCTTTTCACACACCTGTCGGCCATCTGAATATCTTCTTTGGAAAAATATTCAAGTCCTTTGCCCATTCTTTAATTGGATATGTTTTTCTGCTATTAAGTTGTATCTGCTCTTTATAGATCTTGGCTATTAACCCCTTATCAGATCGATGATTTACAAATGTTTCCTTCCATTCTGTAGGTTGTCTTTTCATTTTGTTGATCATTTCTTTTGCTGTGCAGAAGCTTTTTAGTTTGATGTAGTCCGACTTGTTTATTTTTTATTGCATTGTTTGTGGTTAATTGTCATATCTGAAAAATTGTTGCTAAGCCCCATGTTCAGGGTTTTTTTTCCTATATTTCTTCTAGGAGCTATAGGCTTAAGGTCTTACATCTAAGTCTTCAATCCATTTCAAGTTAATTTTTGTGAGTGGTATATGATAGAGATCCAGTTTCTTCCTTTTGCATGTGGCTGTCCAGTTTCCCCAGCACCATTTTTTGAGGAGACTGTCTTCTCCTTTGAGTATTCTTGGCTCCTTTGTCAAATATTAGTTGACCGTATATGCTGCGATAATTTCAGGGCTCTTGATTCTGTCCCAGTGGTAAAGGTGTATTTTTATGCCAGTACCATACTGCTTTGATTACTCTGGCTTTAGACTATAGCTTGAAATCAGGAAGTGTTTTGCCTCCTGCTTTGTTCTTCTTTCTCAGGATTGCTTCAGTTAATCGGGGTCTTTTGTTGTTCCATATAAATTTTGGGATTCCTTTTTCTAGTTCTGTAAGAAATGCCACTGGAAACTTGATAGGGATTGCATTGAATCTATAGATGACTTTTGTAGTATTGACATTCTAACCATGTTAATTCTTCCAACCCATGACCATCAGATACCTTTCCATTTATTTGTGTCTTTGATTTCTTTCATCAATATCTTGTAGTTTTCATTGTACACTTCTTTCACCTCCTTGCTTAAATTTATTCCTAAGTATTTTATTGTTTTTGATGCTATTGTAAATGGGATCATTTGATTGATTCCTTTTTCAGGCAATTTGTCATTCACATACAGAAGCACTACCAATTTTTGTATGTTAATTTTGTATCCTGAAACTTGACTGAATTTGTTGTTAGGTCTAATATTATTTTGGTGGAATCTCTAGGATTTTCTATGTATAAAATCATGTCATCTGCAAATAGAGACCATTTTACTTCTGCCCTTCATGTTCTGTCACCTGTTATTTCTTTTTCTTTCCTGGTTGCTCTGGCTAGGACTTCCAGGACCGTGTTGAATAGGAGTGGTGAGTGTGGGCACCCTTGTCTTGTTCCTGATGTTAGAGGAAAAGCTTTCAACCTTTCACGTTGAGTATGATGTTAGCTGTGGGCTCCACATATATGGCCTTTGTTGTGTTGAAGTACATTCTCTGTATACATAATTTGTTCAGAGTTTTTGTCATGAAAGGATGTTGAATGTTGTCAAATGCTTTTTCTGCGTCAATTGAGATGATCATATGATTTTTTTTCTTTCTATCAATGTGATGTATCATATTTATTGATTTGTGTATGTTGAACCATCCTTGCATCCCAGTGATGAATCCCAATTCATCATGGTAAATGATCTTTCAGGATGCTGCTGGATTTGTTGTATGAGTATTTATTGAGAATTTGTCCATCTATATTCATAGATATCTATATTCGGAGATATTGGCCTGTAGTTTTCTTCTCTTGGAGAGTCCTTTTCTGGCTTGGGTTCAGGATAACCCTGGCCTCTCAAAATAAGTTCGTGAGTGTTCCATCCTCTTCAGTCTTTTGGAAGAGTCTGAGAAGAATTGGCCTTAATTCTTCTCTAAGCGTTTGGTAAAATTCACCAGTGAAGTCTTCTGGTCCTAGGCTTTTCTTCATTGGGAGATTTTTGATTACCAATTCAGTCTCCTTCCTAGTAATGGTCTTTCAGATTTTCTATTCCTGATTCAATCTTAGTCGGTTGTGTATTTCTGAGAATTTATCCATTTCTTCTGTGTTGTTCAGTCTTTTGGCATATAATTCTTCATAGTATCCTCTTATGACCCTTTGTATTTCTGTAGTATAAATTGTAAAGTCTCCTATTTCACTTATAATTTTGTTGGTTTGGATCCTTTCTCTTTTGTCTTCATTAGTCTTGCTAATGGTTTGTCAATTTTGCTTATCTTTTCAAAGAATCAGCTCCTAGTTTTGTTAATGTTATCAATTATTTTTCTATACTGCATTTCATTTATTTCTGCCCTAATCTTTATTATTTCCTCCCTTCTTCTAACTGTGGGCTCAATCTGATCTTCTTTTTCTAATTCCTGGAGGTGTAAAGTGATCTATTTGAGAACTTTCCATTTTCTTGATGTAGGAGTTTATAGCTATCAACTTCCCTCTTAGAACTGCTTTTTCTGCATTCCATAAGTTTTGGTGTGTTGTGTTTCCATTTTCATTTGTCTCAAGATACTTTTTTATTTACCCTTTATTTTTGGTCTATTGGTCATCCAGGAAAGTGTTTTTTCATTTCCACGTATTTGTGAGTTTTCCAGTTTTTCTCCAGTTACCGATTTCAAGTTTCATACCATGTGGTTAGAGAAGATGCTTGGTATGATTTCAATCTTCTTGAATTTGCTAACACTTGTTTTGTGGTTTAACATATGATCTATCACAGAAACTCCTTGTGCACAAGAATGTGTATTCTGCTGTTGCAGGATAGAATGTAGTGTGTATTTCTATTAGGTTCATTTTGTCTATCATGGTGCTCAATTCCGTTTTCATATTGATTCTCTATCTGGATGGTCTATCCATTGTTGAGAGTGGGATATTAAAGTCTCCAACTATTATTGTATTACTGTTTGTTTCTCCTTTTAGTTCTGCTAGTATTTGCCTTATATATTTAGGTTCTCTTATGTTGAGTGCATAAATATTTACAAATGTTAAGTCTTCTTGATGCCTTTACCCCCTGTATCATTACATAATGACCTTCTTTATCTCTCTTTTCCCGTTTTTAGTATAAAGTCTATTTTGTCTGATATAAGTATAGCTTCCCCTACTTTTCTGGTTACCATGTGCTTGAAATATCTTTTCCCATCCCTTAACTGTCAGTCTGTGTGTGCCTTTAAAGAAGCTAAAGTGAG